AACATGCATTTTTACTATATTAACATTGTTTACAGTAATTTTTATACAAGTTTAATACCTTGTGTATATGTTATAGATAAAATAAGAACAAGTTAACGTTACTAAAAAGCTGAATTCCAATGTTATTTTAAACGGCTATTTATTAAAACACTGAAAATTTATGAAAATGTATTTACACCATGAAAAACGTACCTTATGCACAAATGCATAACAATTAAAACAATATACTGTAAGAAAGCCTTTTCCTATTACTAAGGACAACTTGGCAATATAAAACATCTACATACAATAGTATGAAGGACTGTGTGCATAACAGCAAAAAGAATTATCATCAGGGTAAAAAAAAGTCAGTAAGGATATGTTGGTAAAAATGAATTTTTGGATCTGACTTTTCACTCCTAACATAAGGAAAAAGCCAGTTTATACACATTAAAAACAAGCAAAACCACAGAAGAGGGGACAGTAACTTTTCAACAAATATCTGTCAATGAAAGCCAGTCTTGTTTTAGAGATGAATATAGGGCTGTGAGAAGCTTCAGCCCCAATTCAATTTGGTGGAGATTCAGCCTGATTCAGTGGCCGAATCTCCGAATCAAATCAGAAGACCCTTTAATCTCTCCAAATCGAAATCAGAACCTCTCTGAAACGATTTGAAGGACTGGGTGATTCGGACAGAGAGACAGCTTTAAATGTTTTTTCTACAAACCTCTAGGTAGCAGGCAGCTCGTGAGTGCTGCAATGGTGGGGCACATGGAGTGTCCCACAGAAGCACGGGGGGCTCCCCAGCGCACTCGGCAGCAGACCCAGAAGTGGACCAGAAGCACTTCTGGTCCACTTCCGGGCCACTGGGGAGCATGTTGGGGGCCCCCCTGCGCCCACCTGGCTCGGCAACTAGTGCCTCCTGGGTCTGGGGGGGCACCCAGGGTCCCTCCGTGGCTGACTGCCGAGCTGGAGGGGGCGGTGCTGGGGGCCCCCTGGTGGATGTGGAAGTGGACCAGAAGTACTTCTGGTCCACTTCCAGGTTTGCTGCCGAGCATATAGAGGCCCCCCCCCCCCCGAAATCCTGTGGGACACTCCATGCGCCCCAATATCGCAGCGTTCACAAGCCATGCTGGTACCTCGTGCTAGGTAGAAAAAACTTTTAAAGCTGTCTCTATGCCCGAATTGCTGATTTTCCGAATCAGCATTGAATCTTCAGATTTGAATTCAGTCAAATCAGATCAGGGACAGTGATCTGAATCAACAAACTGAAGCACTGTCCCTGATTTGTGCTGTATCATAATCAAATAGGGCCTGCTTTGCACACCCCTAGATGAATAATCCTCCTTAGAAGCACGGCTCCCCTCTCCTGTATGCCTCAGTGATCTAGGCAGCCGGAGAGGCAGAGGTGGACAACCTCCTTTATTCAAGTTTAGCAGAAGTCTTTCTAATCTGAGGAACCTCTAAGGAAGGAAGGTCCTGGAGGAGTGTCAGGTTTAACACGGTCCATCTAGATAGGGAAAGTAGCAGGTCAACAGAACTTGGGGAGAAAGGAAATGCCTCCATGCAGGGGTGGATTCAGGGGAGTGCAGGTCCACTGATACCTGCTTCACCCAAACTATAAAACCAAGTGCTCAGTATGGGCAGGGGCATTTCTATTCTATTTCTGCACAGTTCATTATAATCCACCTGATTCCTATTAATCTTTCTTCATTGTATAAGTGTTAACAACTAGGGCTGCGCGAAGCTTCGGGTGGTGATTCAATTCGGAGGGGACTGGGCCCGATCCAGCGGCTGAATCTCCGAATCGAATCAGGGGACCAATTTAAAGGTCCGAATCGCTTCAAAGCTCTTCAAACCTTCGGAAAAGATTTAGAGCGCTTTGATGATTCAGTCAGTCCCCGGTGGCTGCAGCAGGGAGCAGCAGCCAACTCCGAGCTGGTAAGTACTAGGGGCAGGGGAGGGGGGGCTGTGGGAGAGGAGCATGGGGAGACCTCTGCCAGTCCCCCCTGCTCCCCCAGCCCCCCAAGCTCCCCCATGGCTGCCCCTGCCTGTCCCAGCTCCCGGTACTTTAAAAAAAGTCCCGGTGCTCACTGGGGGTGGGAGGGGCAATCCCCGCTGCCCCTCACTGTCCCAGCATCCCCACAGGTGCCCTGCCCAAAAACCCAAAGAACCAAGAAAAGCCCCGAGACTCACTGCTCCTGCAGCGGCCTCAGGGGGCTTGTGGAAGAGCCCCCCCACGTGGTATGGAGCAGTGGGGATTGCCTCCCCACTGGCAGAATCAGTGAGTCTCAGGTTTTTTGCTTCCTCGTGGGGGGACTTATGCAGAGCCCCCCACGCAGCATGGGGCAGCAGGGATCGCCCCCACCCAGCAGCACCTGGTGAGTTGGGGCTTCCCGCTTCTCAAGTGCCAGGAGCTGGGGTGGGCGGGCGATGGGCCTGGTTTAGCTGATTCGGGACCGATTTGAATCACTGCCCCCCGAAGCCAATTCTGAAGCGAATACTAACCGCTTCACACAGGCCTATTAACAACCCTCTCTCCTTTTCAATGGTCTTGATGTTCCATTAATAAAGCTATCCTTTTAAATGCATTTTCCATATCTATTAGCCATTCCTGGTAATATCTCTCATTTCACAGCCCTGCAGGCTGCTTTTAGCTCTGTTTAAAACCTTAACTCAGTTGGGGTAATATTAACTCAGGTGAACAGTAACAGGCATGGAAATTGACAGTGAAGTACTGGATGCACTGTCAAGATGCTCAAGAAGGCTAGAAGATGCCTCCACATAAACAGAAAATTTACCCAAGAAAAAGAATTACATTCCACAGACGATGACCTGGTAAGAGGGCTCCAGGTCCTCGACCACCTGGGTAATAGCGATCATCGCTTGCTGGAATTCACCATCCAGCGCAGGGTGTCAGACCCTACAAGGAGAGGCTATGGGACCCTAACCTGTTCAGCCTCCGCAAGAGAAGGCTGAGAGGGGACCTGGTGGCAGTCTATAAACTCACTGGGGGGGACCACCAGGGTTTGGGAGAGACCTTGTTCCCCCTAGCGCCTCCCATGGTAACAAGGAATAACAGCCACAAGCTGTGAGAGAGTAGGTTTAGACTAGACATCTGAAGGCACTACTTCATAGTCAGGGCGGCTAGGATCTGGAACCAACTTCCAAGAAAAAAAAGTGCTGGTGGCTCCTACCCTGGGGGTCTTTAAGAGGAGGCTTGATGCCTACCTGGCTGGGGTCATTTGAGCCTGGTTTTTCTCTACTGCAGCCTGATGCAAAGTCCCTTCCAACCCTACTTCTATGAATCTATGAATCCATGCAGGCTTCCAGGTCCAGAGAGAATGACCTGCTATTTCCTTCCAAAGATGGGACAAAGCGTCTTCCCCCAGCCTCCAGAAGAATTTGGAAAAAAAGACTCATTTAGTTCTCATTCCAATCTGGCTTCCTTCTTTCACATATTTGTAAAGAAAAGGAAATTCAGACCCAAAGGAGTTAAAGCTACAATGATTCAGTTACAGCTGTAACTGGTGAAAGAAAAACTTCTGGCAAAAGAGAATCTGAAGTGAATAAAAAGCATCCATGAAGCAGAATCAATTTTCAAGCTTCTAAGAGAAGAGCCAGCTGCAAAGAAAATCCATGTGGCATTACAGAAAGTGAAGAATTTAACATAGTTGATTCCATTTTGTTGTACTGCATTAAAATGAAATCTATAAAGCCATAATTTCCCCCAATTTCAAAAGCCAAATAACAAAGTATAAAAAGTATTATTAAATGTAAATTAATAGAATAATAGTTTAATTAATTTAAAAATGTAGATTTGTAGGAGTTTAAATGTGCCTTTTGTGTATTTGTAAAGTTACTGGTGACCCTTTTTAGCATCTTTCCCAATAGTTCAGGAAGTTCCTTGCCAAAATGCCAACTGAAAAAAGGCAAGCTGAATTTCTTTCAGAGCGAGATTTAAAAAATGTGCGTGTGGTGGCTTGCAATGATGACACCTTCATGAGTATTTTGCCACGGTTAATTAATTCCTTTCATATATATAATAGCTGCAGCAATTGGACACCCATTATAAAACTACTACTGGGGACAAGAGGTGATAAACAGCAAAATTTAGCAAAATTATCATTAACAATTTCAAGTATAAATTATTTCTGCTCATGAAGTATCCCTACCAAATTCACTGAATGTAAACTGCTATATGTATTTCATAATTAAAGTCATGGCAAAAGCAAAACAGTGAATCAAATAAACACTTGATACTTAAATTTTTAAAACACTGGTCACAAATTCATATATACAGTCATAATTAAAAACTCAGTGTGTTTGTATCATCGTATTTACTCAAATCCAAGATGAGGTTTCCCTCTTCAGTCAGGAGAGGGGAAATACACGCCTCATCTTGGATTTCAGTATTAGTGTTCTGACTCTATCCAGGGGCAGGAGCAGGACCTGCTGGGATGCTGCGGCTGCTTGGAGCCATGGTGTCAGCAATGATGTGGAGCAGCAGTGCATGGTGGGATGGGACGACAGCAGTGAGGGTTGGGTTGGGGAGGAGTGGGGGGGAAGCAGCAGAGATGGGGAACAGGCAGGACTGGGCAAGTGTGTGGGGGAGCAAGATGGTGTTTCCCCCTCCCCATGTTTGGAGACAAATCTAAATGACAATACCCCAATAATTAGATTTTATAAACAGAAAATTATAAATTTGTTATAATTTTCCATTAATGGAATCTAATTATTGGGGGTTGCCTTTAATTCAACGAAAAAACTAAGGAAATACAAGGAAAAAACTAAAGACAAAAACAAAATAATTAGTCTTTAAGCTACTGGAACTCACTCAGGTTTATAGAGGTGGTTGAATTGGCTCCAACTCTGTTACAATGAAAGTTGCCCAAAAGGAAGCGCAAAAAGTACCTTAGTAGTAATAGCTGCCATCTGAGATGTGCTTTTAGAAACTGATCCGGGAGATCCTGGGGAACCCGGAGATCCTGGGGAACCTGGAGACCCAGGCAAGTTACTTGCAGATGACTGGCTCGTAAGGTTAGTTTTTGTACCACCAGAGAAGGATAGTTTGAAACTTGGGCTCTGACGACCTGAAAGATTAGTTTTCAGAAGGACTTCCTTTTCTTCACTCTCTTTCACTGGAAGAAAGAAATATGCTTTTAAATAATATATTTATTTGCACCAGAGTACTGCTGCGTGTTGAAAATAGAACATACAGTTATATGTCTAACTTAATTTACATTACGGTGGGCAGAGTGCAGTGATTTATTTAAGTATACTACTGTATTACCTAAGAGCTGTAGTCATGGATTACAGCTCAGTACAGGCAACCCCTGCTTAACGTGGTTTCAGTCAGTGTTATTTTGCTATAGTGCTCATTTAAAATTGATACCTCATTTCAGTGCGCACACAGCCATTTTTACTATAGCGCTCAGTGGAATCAGCGAGAAGGCAGGGTGGACACGGAGAAGCAGCTGTGGCAGTGGCAAGTGGGGGGGGGGGGGGCCGGGGGCCGGGGGGTGGGGGGGAGGGGGGGGGGGGGGGAGGGGGGGGGGGGGGGAGGGGGGGGGGGGGGGAGGGGGGGGGGGGGGGAGGGGGGGGGGGGGGGAGGGGGGGGGGGGGGGAGGGGGGGGGGGGGGGAGGGGGGGGGGGGGGGAGGGGGGGGGGGGGGGAGGGGGGGGGGGGGGGAGGGGGGGGGGGGGGGAGGGGGGGGGGGGGGGAGGGGGGGGGGGGGGGAGGGGGGGGGGGGGGGAGGGGGGGGGGGGGGGCCTGAGTGCAGGGGGATGGGGAGAAGTGGTGGCAAGTGTGGGGCCCACGCTGGGGCCAGGATCGGCAGGAGTGCCAGTGCCCAGTCTGGTATGTAGGGCTGAAGTGGCTGCAGGGTGGGTGGGGAGAGGCAGTGGTGGTGTGAAGTAATAAGTGGGGGTTGAGCATGAGTGCAGGGTCTGTACCAGTACCCGGGCTGGCAGAGGCCCAGGGCGGGGCAGCAGCTGCAAGAAGTGGCGGTAACCAATTATTTCTATTTACATTCATTCCTATGGGGAAATGGGTTTAGCTTAGCATGGTTCCGCTTAACACTCGTTTTCTCTGGAACCAATTAAGAATGCTAAGCAGGAGTTGCCCGTATACATATTCTATTAGTGGCATTACTTTAATGCACAAACAAGTTGATAAGGTATAATCTGAGCAAACAAAGTATATGACAACTCGATTAGTTGCCTAGTATTTCTCATTTTAGTGCTTTAAGAAAACCAAATTCATTCAGAACACAAATCTCCATACTTTTAAGCCTTTGCATATGATATGAAAAGGTTTTTTGGTCTGAATAAATAAGCTGCCAGTCTAGTTGTATAAGTACTAAAGGTGAATGTAATAATTTATATGAAAATATAGAAAAATCCAACAACTATGTTTTCTTAAAATGCAAATTAAGCCTTCCATTTAAACTAGACAATTAAATATTTTCCTTCCAGTCACTTACATTTTTTTCTTTCCATGAATTTACTTATAGGGTCCATAATATCATCATCATTTTTAGTTTTATCAGAGGGGGGTACCACTGCCTCTCCATCCTCCATATCATCTTCATCAGTGTTAAACCACATTTCCTCCTCATCTTCTAGAGTTCTTGCATCTCTCCGGTATCTGTGATTTCTCAAAATGGACCGCATGCTGTGGAACAAGTAGTTTTTAATGTTTGAAGCCCAACTACTATTGCAAGTCTACATAAGTTCAAGAATAAATCAACATGGCACATATTTTCATATCTAAATAAACAGACTGCATGTTTTCTTCCCTACACATATGCACCAAGGTAAAAATCCTAGGGTTTGTGTTTTACTTTTAATAAAATGCTCACATTATCTGGCATGAACCAGAATTCCTAAGATTGCAGATCTGGCACAAAGAGAGGTGTTACAAAATACCCTATATAGCAAAAGAAATCTGCTATAATCTTACTCCCTTGCTTCAGCATTCATTTGCAGATTTTCAAACTGAAATATTATTTGAGGACAATCTTTCATAATAACTATTGCAAATCTAAGTTTTTAAGCAAAAGAGGTTCAGTTACTAATAACCTCAGTTAGATAATCTGTGCAAGTATTTCTGCATTTATTACAGTCTGAAACCCCCCATCAAGTTTTAAGCAAACAGTTCTGGAAAACACTCTACCAATTAGATTATTCAGCAGTGCCCAAGTATCATACAGTAGCTATTAGAATTATTTTTACTTCCTACTAGAGCACAGAAACACTCACATCAATATTTACCTGTCAAGTTTTGGATTATCTTGTCTTTCCCTTTGCTGTTCAAATCGTAGTTTCAATCCTTTGAATGTTTGCACGTAATCTACATCTTCCAGTGCTTTCCAGTAATTCTCTATTACATGCGCAGTTAATGATTTTATATCTTCCTATAGGAAAGAAATGCAACCATAAACCAAGTGACTTAGTTCAAAAAGAAAAGGAAAAAAAATGTATGCATGCAAGTATTTTTTTTTAATACAACAGGAAAGGAAAAACAAGGAAGGTGTAATAGTCATAAAATGTCCTAAAAGTGATCTCGTACTAAGCTGCTCAGTTAACAAATATAGCAAATACATTTGTGGGTAAAATCTGGCACTTCAAAATAAATAATTCGATTGAAAGAGAGATGTAAGAGTAACAGTTTTGGATTTTTACAGTTTTTGAAATAAAAAATGGTAAAAAGTTTTCTACATAGCCATTGATCAAAAATACTGAAAGCAGCTCTAGACTTAAAACAACTGTACTGTAATTTACACAAACTTGTATATGAAGAGATCAATTTGTTTTTATCATAATAATATCAATGACTAAGGAAAAGGAGAAAAACAGATCAAAAAGCAAATAATTCATGATTTCTCTGTAATGTAATAAAAGGACATCCTCTCACACTAGTGCAGGTAGGAGGAGATGAAGGGGGAAAAAAACTTCTTTAAGTATTCCTATGTGGTGCTTCTCCCTGAGCAGGGCCATGATGCACATGAAAATGGAAGATGGTTTATTTCCCCACAGAATGAGGTCTGTGGCCAACTCCTAATTTCAGATTCTTGAAGGATTTGTAGGAAACTAGGATTATACAGGGGTAAGTGCTCTGGCTCTGGCACTCTCAAGCACCTTCTCCATTCAAACAAGGACTTTCACTAGCCTTAACCACCTAAGGCCTCATTTAAGTGACGAAGAGGCTCTCTTCAAAGAATTAATAAAGCCCTCAATATGTTACATTTCTCAAGTAACCTTCAAAACACAGGAGCGGGGGGGGTGGGAAATAATGCACGTCCCCATTAGAGTAGTAGGACTGGAATGATATTGTAGCCTTGATAGTCCAGGAAATATACAAGCCAGGGTTTTTTAGTGATATCTTTTACTGGACCCACTGTAGAGTTGGGAAAGACGTTAGACACACTTTCAGGGAAAAAGTTCAATTGAAGATGTGAACTTGGTTCCTGAGAGCTTATCTAAACTGCACCCCCACCCCCCCTATGAAGTTGGTCCAAAAAAAAGATATCACCAAGAATACCCTAGCATCTCCCCACCTCCCCCCATTCAACAGCAACCTACCCACTCAGTAGCCTTTTTCCCATGCAAATTTTAAATCTACTTAGTCTGGGTGAAGACAGTAGTGAGGGAAAAGTGCCATGGAGGAAGATGATCAATCCCTTCTGTGTGTTAAGAGACTCCTGCATGATAAAATCTTGGGAATACTACATTTATATTGTCTCCTATGGTTCAGTGGTAGACTGCGTGCCTGCCATGTGGGAGACCTGGGTTCGATTTCTGGGATGCTCGTACAACTATGGCTATAGAGGCTCCAAACATCTGGATCCAGTCTGGCCTTTGGATTCTGTCTCAGTGGACTAAAGGGGAAGACAGGTGGTCTGGGCAGCCTCTACTCCTCTAAACCCCTACCTAGGCAAGTGTGTCAAAGGTCTGGATGACCTCTTGTGCATACACCATGATCTGGAAGGATCAGTGTTGTCAAACCAAACCACTATACTTCTGACAGAATTACCTCTCTGCTCTGTAAGTATTTCCATATTTCACAGAATTCAGTCAGTCTAGAGCTGGGGTGCAAAACACATACTTTACTGACAGATCTGCAAGGTACATATAGTGGGCTACAAACAGCGAAATCCTTACAGTGCAAGTAGAAAAGTGAACCATAAAGGCAGGCCTATGTGCAGATTACTGTTAATTTAACTTGCTATTTGCTTTGAAAATTCTTTTTAGTTTTTATGTTTAGGGAACAACAAATAGTTTAATAAAGAATTATGAGTGGACCATCAGGGTGGTCTCTCAAGCAATAATGACTTAGTATATCCCTTTAAGTCATTTCAAATTAAGTTCCTACTTCAATATTTATTCCAATCCAGAATTAGTTTATACAATAGATTTCAATAAGGACAGTATTTTCAAATCTGGGAACAATGAATGCAATTTCAACGTTGTATAACCATTACCATTTATCTCTGAATGAAATGCCCTTCCAGAACAGTCATTCTGGACAAGAAACTTAACATCAATTTCAGATTTATTTTGGTTACATCATTATAATCATCTTATTTAAACATTACCAGAATTAGACACCAATAACTGCATCTGTCTCAAAATTAAAATCTAAACTCCTAAACTATATGATGTATTATAAAATCAACATTGTCAAAGATATAATAGTACTCACCACTCTAATAAATTCAAACATCTCTATTATGGCAGAATTCATCAGATTATAGCGGGATCCATTGTTGAGAAATGCTTTGACCACAGGTTCAAACAAAAAACTTTTCATTATGTATCGGTTGTAGAATTCATCCTTCAACCCAATTATCTTTCTCTTAAAACGAAGGGCACCTAAAACCAGGCAAGCGGTTGTTGAAAGTTACAATTATTTTTATAGACAGAATTAAAAATTAACCAAACAGCAGTTATTTCACATGAAATATACATAAGGAAGTTTGGTTTTTTAAAATCAATAAATTGTATACTTTTGCATACTATTGATACAACATGTATCAATAGGTTAAAAAGGTTCTTAAAAGTACAAATTGAGTGTGTAACGACCTGCTACACCATCAAAAAATCCTTCAAGTAAGCCTTGATCATCCTTTTTTTAAATGAACTGTAACACTAACCTAAGCACGATGCTAGCATGTTAACTGTTAAAACACTGAAACAACTCAGGGTTTCAAAGAAAAATCATTTCACAATTGCAAGATTCATTGCCAGTAATCACCATTGGACTCAAACTGTCATTTTTCCCCTCCTTCTAATCATTTCTATTTTTTCAAAGAAACAACTTGAATATGTTTAATTGATTTTGTCTACAAAGTAAAGTCATCAACATTAAATAGGAAATGTTTTTTCTGACTGAAAAAATGCTGAAACTTGATCTATTTATATCCCCTTTGAAGCCTGCCTTTGAGGCTTTTGTTGTGGTGTTCCAAAGCTCCTATAAGCTTTTGAGCTCTCAAAGCACCTTACTTTTGCACATCTAAGAACAGGCTACTTTTCCTCCACTGGTCTATGAAAGTACTCCAAGTGGATAAGCTGTACGCATGTGAAATACGATTACTGAAGGATCCTAATTCTACCAAAATCATACATGATCTTTAAGGCTAGGGACAGAAGTTACACATAAACTAGTATAAGTGATCAGAAATCAGTTCAAATTTGTACCACAACAGAAGCTCAGTGCACATAAACTACTTTCAAAATGGCTGAAACCGGTTTAAGATAAAGCTGGAAGGATGTTGCATCAGACTTAACTGATTTAGGTTAAATCAGTCTACTGAACTTCTGTCCCAGATCCCCTCCAGATTCAAATCAACTCTGTCCCCAGCATCCCAGCATGCGTTGCACCTCTCCCATAAACTTCCCCCTCACAGGTGGGCAACCTAGCCCTTGCCTAAGCTGTCTGCTCCAGCTGAGCAAGGTGTGCTCTAGCACCCCCTTGCTTCTGGCTTGAGCCACTGCAGGCATATGGCTGCATTTCTGGAATTGAAAGTGAATGTCTGTTCACTTGCTTATCAGTTTAGTCTATGCAGCTTAGACTAACCTGAAAAGATTAAATCAATTCAGTCTTGGGCTTTCCAACAGTCACTTAGCCTAAGTGAAAAAACACTTTAAACTACAAGTTACTTCTCTTCCCATTTCCAACTGTTAGTTGTGAATATGAAGAAAGACAGACAAACTTTTTGGAAAGGTAGAAGGAACTGCTCAACTAGTTGCTCAGGTCTTCAAAGACCTGTTCTTTAAGACCTTCTGACTATTAGTTTTGACACAGAAGTGCACTGTTTTATTAGCAAGTAAAAAAACCAAACAAAACCTGATATTTACTTCTAAAAGTTCTTTCTTTCCAAAATTAAGTAATATCACAAGCACAGTAAATAGTTCTTGATCTACAGCCTGTGATTCTCAACAAGGGTACCATGACACCCTGGAGTGTCCTGAGACCCTTTCAAGGATTCTGTGGGGTACCATGCAATGGTAGCACTGTTAGGTGTGCAAGCATGATTCACAAGATAAAAGCCAGAGATTTAAAAAAAGGAATCCATAGTTTTTAAGAGCATTATGACCTGTTGTGGGCTGAGTCCTTTGCTACAGAAGGCTGCAAATTGGTTTATAATAGGGCTCTCTCAGGAAATAAATTAATTAATTTAATACATAACTCAGGACTGTTCAAACTTTGGGGCAGCCCCTGGTCTGCACACTGTGCAGACAGGCCCCTGGGATTCCACCCCTCCAACTGTGCGAGGTTGACCACCATTGTTCAGCTCTTCCTAATCTCCAAGGCCCTCCCTGACTGCAGGCCAGAGAAAGGTGGTTGCAGGGGCTCAGTCTGCGGGCTGCCAGTTGGACAGTCCTGAAATAAGTCACAGAGCTGGAAGGGACCTTAAAGGTCAGTTAATCCAACCTTGCACAAATACAGAATGGTCTATTCCTATAAGCAACCATCTGGGGTAGTACTCAGCCCTTTTCCTGAAAACCTAAAATGAAGGCGATTCCTCAGTTTCTCTAGGTATTTAATTCCATTGTCCTATTCTTCCCGGGGTATAAAGTTTTTTGAGGTTTAATCTAAATCTGGTTTGATAAGATTAAAAACCATTTCTTTGATGACCTGCCCTCTGTGGCAAGGAAAAACATCCCCCCCCCCCACTTCTTCATAACAGCCTACTGAATATTTGAAAACTGCTATGTTCTCCTTTCATTTATTTTTCCCTAAGCATATCTTATTCTCTCAACTTTTCCTCATATGACGTGCATTCGAAAAAAAAAAAAAAAAGGCTAAGTTTCAGCAACCCCCCCGATAAATACAAAATTGTTTGGTAATTCTAAATGACACAGCCACAGGTTGGTATGAGAAATAAAGGATACAGTTATGAAGATGGAGCTTCTGTACTGAAGTTTATGGTTATGTAAAGGTACATATTTTCCAACAAAATACCACTATTACAAATAACACTCATCACACAAACAAGTTAAAAACTTACATAATGCCAAGAAAGCGTGCTTTGAGGCCATAAGAACTAATACTCGTCGCAGGATATCTTTGTTAATAATGTAGTTCTTTATATGATATGTATGATGTTCTACACAGAAAGTTAGCAATTCCAATATTAATGCCAACAGCTGTGCTGTCTGAAAATCATCTACAAATAAAAAATATATTTATTAACAAGAACATAATTTAAAAAATGTTTAGGGCCCTATTTTCAAATACTAAATCTAAATTTGCAGGTACAGTCACAAAGTTGGATCTTTAAATCTCACTGTAAACTGTTATACTAGTTTTGGGTAGAAAGCTGGAATCTACATCTAGCCCTTAAAAAAAACAATCAAACAAACAAACAAAAAACAAACTAAAAACCCCATACAAAAGTCTACCAGTGACCTGATAATATCTACCTTAAAAATGTTAGTCTGCTATATCAAGAAACCCTTCTATACTGCACATGCTTATACCAACATGAGTTTTTTGCCACTATAACATTGGTCTGATGAACAAAAAGCTATACTAGCAAGAGCACAGTTGTAACTGCCCTTATACAAGGGGGTCTGCCTACTTAGATGTGTCTTAAAACAGGGTTGGCCAATCTGCTACACAAGTGTTGTAAGTGGCACATGCAGTCTGTGTGTGGGGCATACAGCAGATCAGGAAGGTGGCAAACAGCACAGCAGCAGATAAGGCAGGAAGCTGAAGGGAAAGCAGGAGATTGGGCAGGGAGTACAGAGAATGGAGCAGAAGGCAGAAAGGCAGATCAGACAGAGGAAGGCGGTCAGAGTGGTACCCAGGGAGGGTGCAGGGCTAATTTTTGTCATGCCTAAGAAAAAGGCCTGTCTCCACCATCTTAAAATATCATCCTGGACATCATCTTAGATCATGTCTACTCTAAAAATTTGTCAGTATATTATTCTTATTAAAAGACGTAAAACGGATTTAAAAGACATTAGCTGTTTTAGGAATCTAAAATACAACAATCACACTATATTAGGGGTGTCAAACTTATGGGTTGTGGGCTGGAACTAGCCTATAGAACTATGTTGTGTGGCCTGTTGGGCTGGCAGTGGGAAAGGGAATTTGGGGATGGGGCAAGCAGGGGTGGGACCTGACAACTAACTCTGGGACACCGAGCTCCACTGGACAAGAATTCAGCCTGTGAAGAGCCCCATGATCCAGATGTGGCCCGTGGGGCAGGGGGAGTTTAACATCCCTGCACAAGATTAAAGATGAAGCTATTGGAAAGCTACTAACGTTAAACAATAGGTAAAGGACACGATGAAAACAATGGAAAATTTAAAAACTTTCAGTCAGATTTGTTTGGTTTTTTTTTTTTTTTAATGTAACATTAGCTGTTTTGAAAATATTGCTGAGGTGTAAGCTATTACAACACAGTGTTTTTGGGAGTAACAAAATTTGACTTCAAACTCCCCTTAAAGTTGGCTAATATTCAAGATCTTAACTTGCTTGGCAATTACTCTAGAAAGTTTCAGGGTATGATTAAGGACTGCTTATTGGGACAAATTTTGGATCCTCTATAATTATATATATGTCCTGACAATAAAAGTATTTAAGCACCTGCACAATTTTATGTACCATAAAAAGTTGACCTGATTACTCGTGTACTAAAAGTTACATAGATGCTTTAAGGGCTTTGCTAGATGAAAATTGGAACAATAATGTTGTGTTCACCTCATAAGAGACTTCTGTCTTTTATGCATTGTAAACAATGAATCAACGTTTTAGTTCAAATCAGACACTGCATGATCAAAATAAATATATTTTGGATGATTAGAGTTTCATACACCCTTTAATAAAGTAGTCAGCATTAAATTCTGACATTCAGTAGGCTTCAACAGGACAGCCAAACTTTGCTGGGTCTCACCTTTGCTAGGCTTATCTTCGGTAGTATTAGCCAGTAAGGGGGCTGTGAGAACATGCATACAGTGTTTGTAGAAGAAACCCAGAAACTCTGTCTTCTCCGTTTTCTACAGAATGAAAAAATACTTTAATATTAAAGCCAGCGTTTCTAACATACATTACCATGAGTGTTTAACATTTCAAGAAACCAGCCATAACTGAATTTAGAACTCACATTGGCAGTCGCTAACATATTTTCTGGATCAACTAGAGTTCGAAGTAGACCCATGAGCTGGACTGCCCCCCCGAGTTCTGGATCCGTGTCACAGATCATATGTTCTATGATGAGATTAATGAGTAAAATATCCTAGTAAGGAAGACAGAGGCAAAAAACATATAATTTATAACTAAGAAAAATGAAAGTCCCTTTAAAGGGGAAATCAGTCAAATTTGGCCAAAATTAAAAATGGTGTAAAAAATAAAAATATTACACAATGCAGTACTAATACAACCAAATCCTTAAAATACATTTTTGAAACTTCCAGTGAAATATGACTATTTGTATGCCTAATATTACTGCTTTAACCATGGAGAAGCTTTCAGAGCAAATACAAAGTTGGCTAATGAAAATTTATAAAAACAAGAAAAAGATTTGAAGAAAAAACTTGACACACATAGTGAGAAGGCAGGTGCTTCAAATTCTAAATATATATGCATAAGGGTTTTTTTGTTTGTTTTTTTATTAATTAGAGGATTTAACTTGTTATTGCTAAAAGAAAATCCCTAGTCCTACAAGTGCACACACGGCTTTAAAAACATGAACGCATGTGATGACTGGCATGTAAATTTACTCAAAAACATGTGCTTTTGCAAAAAAGGGATCAAAAAACAATTTTCCATTCTTATATAATTCTTGTGTACATGCACAAGCAATTACCAGCATTAGTGGAGTGATCTGGAAACTGACACTTCTCTCAAATTGTTATAGCACCCTGATTCTACAAGTCACTTACATACATGCAAAACAAAGCAGGTCAGTAGTCAACTAAAGGAAAAAAGTATACTTAAGTAAAATTAAGAACAGGCAGGAATAGGATCAAGTCTTTAATTTATATGTTACTTTCCATATTTGAAACAGACTTTGCTGCAAAGTGAAGTTTTTTTCTTAAAACAAGACAACTTTTTAAAAGCAATTTGAAACACTAAATATTTCTACAAAGGTGGTCATATCTGACCTTAAAAATACTATTGTAATCGGATCCTAAAACAGTAATTCAGAAGCTGAACAGAGATATGTAATTAAAAAGGCAAGGCAGTTTCTTTCTTTCTCTATAGATTTTAAGAAATTGGACTTAAAAACAATATAGAAGTTTAAAAAATGACAGGTATACAAAGCAGCTAATCATTTACCAAACATATCATCCAGCATATTAAACAAATTTGGAATTTAAAAAGGTAGGGTTTTTTTATCTTTGCATTTCCTTTGCCAATGCTGTTCCCTGTTGTTCTTTCCTAAATTATTTTATTGTAGCCTGAATTATATCTGTGTCCAGAATACTGTACTGGTTAACTAACAATCGATGAATATTGTATCTTATTTACATTTAAAAAGTTCCTGTTTATTATATATAAAATTCAATTCCTACTATATGTTTGCAGGGTTCATTAAATCAAATAAGTTACTTTACTGTATATTACTTTTCTTTCCTATAAGAGATGCAAGCTTTGTATACTTTGGTGTATATTCAGGGCAAAAGATATTGCAAAGACCTAATGACATACCATCACCATATGAAACTAAACAAGAAGTCTGAAATTTACATATTGCTTGATGTACTCTGAAAGGCAAACTGACAGGTGTAGAAAAACTTAAGGATCCAATTCTCCAAGCATTAAGACATGTGCTTAGATTTAGACAAGTGAGCAGCTTTCCCTTCCATATGTGTGTTATTTGTATTGTCTACATGTTTAAAGTTAAGGTACTTGACTGTTTCAAGGACTGGGACCCAAGCAGACTATAAGCAGCCTTCCACATACATTAACTAATAACTTAAAATTTTAATTTATACAGTAAAAGCTCTGTTAACCGGCATCCCCCAAGAATGGGGGATGCCAGTTAATCAAATATGCCGGTTAATCAAATGTGCACCATCTGGTGCTGGGGGACAGGGAGGGGGGCCCCGCACAGGCTGCTTTACCCTGGGCCACGGGCCAAAGAAGTGACATAGAAAAACTTGGCTCACAGCAGCGAAACCAGAAGTCCCCCAGAAGCGGTACTTCCAGTTTCACTTTTGCTGCATCCCTTGGACGCCAGTTAGTAGAGTTTTCCGGCTAATAAAGTGCCAGTTAACACAGCATTTGCTATAGATGTCAATACAGTTATACAATTTCACTGAAGATACTGCAGTGAAGGGTACTACAAAGAAGTTTCCAAATGATTTTTATTTAAAAAGGGAAGATTTTAAAAACTCAAATTATTTGTAGCAAACATTTGTAAAATGTAACCATGTAAAACAGGATTTAGTTTCAGTTAATGGAGTTGCAAGTATGAAGCTTCTTTAAAAAAAAAAAAAAGTCACCTTAAACGACTTCCTACTTACATCATCATTCTGTTGAGCTTCCTGCATGACAAATTCTCGTACCATGGATGGATTGTATTCAACCAAATATGAGAATATATCAGTAGCTGCACTTCGTACTTGTGCATCATCCATACCCTGGGAAGTCAAGTAAAACCACTTACAAATTTTCAAAAATAAAATCCTTGAGCTTGGAAGACATGAAGCAGTCATTTTTTAAAGGAACACAAGCAACTTCACCTCTCTCTCTCGTATTTCATACCTCTATTTATATAATTATATATAATTTCACACTTTTCCTTGTTATTTGGTCAATTTTGTTAGCCCTGGGTACACAGAAAAACATAACGATGGGAAAGTGACAACAGATCAAAAATACTGAGAGGGGAGTAACTGATGTAAAGCCACATAAGATTTATTCCTACTTTTTAAATCAACTGACATGCAAGTTGGTAATATTCCCTATGTGATAGGACAAATGAAGAGTTCTTAAGAAAGCTGCATAACTCAAGTTCTGACTTATTAACTTTTTAACCAACCAATTGACCTTTCTAAAATAAAAATTATAAAATAGTTATAGAAAATATTTAGAAAGTCATTTTAGAAAAAAAATCTTGAGTTTACTTACTAGAATAACTTCTAATGCTGGCAGTATACCCATATTAGACAATGTTTTGAAAAAAGCATCTCTATTCTGAGGTTGTAACGTCTGAGAAAATGCACAGAACTCTTTAAGGAAATTTACCTGAAATTTAGAAAAACATATGAATAGTAAATAAGAAAATTCAGTCAGCTGGAACTGTCACTTCACACAAACTATTCAAATCCTTACCAATTCTTGTCTTTTCTCCTCATCTGTGGCTTCATCTGTTAGCTGGGCAAACAATTCTGTCAAAAATTTCTCATCTTCCTACAAAAGAAAGACAACATTTGATTACTTGCTAATTTTAAATTTAACTCTCAGAATATTAAACTCCTCAAATCCCCATCTCCTGCAGTTAAAAGGCTAACAAGCCATGTATCATACTTAGTGTTTGTCAATTTTCTGCTTAATACTGTTTTCAAATGTAAACTTATCAGGCATCCTTTTTCACTTTGTTACAAACAGTTCTTTCCTTTTTTCATTCCACTTTCCCAGCTGCAGTGCATCTTGTAATGTCTTTTATGCATCTCTTTTCCATGTCTACACTCTCTGATCTACTTCCCTACAGTATGCTTTATTACCAATGCTACATTCTTTCCATCTAACTTATTCCCTATCCTTACATTAATCAACATTTTTTTAACGTCTGCCCTCCTCAATCTCCTTTCCACCCCAACCCCAGCCTTCAAATACACGAGGAGACTGAGCAACCTAGACTTCTTCAGCCTTCACAAGAGAAGGCTGAGAGATGATCTTGTGAATGCCTATAAATTAATCAGGGGAGAGCAGCAGGGAATAGTAGATGCTCTATTTACTAGGACACCCCCCGGAAGTAACCAGGAACAATGGCCACAAATTGACAGAGTGCAGATTTAGGTTGGACATGAGAAAGAACCTCTTCACATTAAGGGCTGCCAGAATCTGGAATGGGTTTCTAAGGGAGGTGGTGCTCTCCCCTACCTTGGGGGTCTTCAAGAGGAGACTGAACAAGCACCTAGCCGGGGTCGTCTGACCCCAGCACTCTTTCCTGCCCAGGGCAGAGGGTCAGACTCAATGACCTACTGAGGTCCCTTCCGACCTCAACATCTATGAATCTATGAAGGGTGCTGTGATGTGACTGCAAAGCCATAGGCCATCATTGTTGAAAAATCATGGTGATCACAAGAGGTCCCAGATGACTGGAAGAGGGCAAACAGTGTCCATATTTAACAGAAAAAGAAGAATCCAGGGAACTACAGACCAGTCAGCCTCACCTGTGTCTCTGGAAAAACCATGGAGCGGATCTTCAAGGAATCCATTTCTAAGCACTTGGAGAGGGATAAGGTGATGAGGAACAGTAAGCATGGATTCACCAAGGGCAAGTCATGCCTGAACAACCTGATTGCCTTCTATGATGAGATGACTGGCTCTGTGGATGCAGGGAGACCAGTGGATATGGTATATCATGATTTTAGCAAAACTTTTGGTAGTCTTCCACAACAGTCTCACAGCTAAGGAAGTACAGGCTGGATGAACAGATGGTAAGGTAGATAGAAAACTTACTGGAGAATTAGGATCAGGGAGTAGTAAGAAATGGCTCAATGGCTAGTTGGCAGCCAGTATTAAGTAGAGTGCCCCAAGGGTCGGTTCTAGGGCCATTTTTTCTTCAACATCTTCATCAAAGACCTGGAAGATGGCATAGAGTGCACCCTCAGCAAGTGTGCAGGTGACACCAAGCTAGCGGGAGTAGTAGATACACTGGAGGGTAGGACTAGGATTCAGAGTGACCTAGACATATTGGAGGATAGGGCCAAAAGGAATCTCATGAGGTTCAACAAGGACAAGCACAAAGTCCTGCACTTAGGACAGAACAATCCCATGCACTAGTATAGGCTGGGGGCTGACTGGCTGGGAAGCAGCTCTGCAGAAAAGGACCTGGGGGTTACTGTGGACAATAAGCTGAATATGAGCCAGCAGTGTGCCATTGTTACCAAGAAGGCTAATGGCATATTGGGCTGCACTGGTACAAGTGTTGCTAGCAGATCAAGGAAAGTGATTAATCCTCTCTACTTCAGCACTGGTGAGGCCACATCTGGAGTGCTGTGTTCAGTTTTTGGGCCCCCCCACTACAGAAATGGTGTGGACAAATTGGAGAGGGTTCAGCAGAGGGCAACAAAAATGGTGAGGGTGCTGGGGGACATGACTTATGAGAAGACGCTGAGGGAACTGGGCTTATTTTAGTTTAGAGAAAAGGAGACAGAGGGGATTAATAGCAGCCTTCAAATACCTGAAAAGGATTTCAAAGAAGGATGGAGCTGGACTGTTTTCAGTGGTTTCAGATGACAGAACAAGGAGAAATGGTTTTAAGTTGCAGGAAAGGAAATTTAGGTTAGATATTAGGAAAAGTTCTCTCCCTAGGAAGGTAGTAAAACACTGGACGAGGCTGCCCAGAGAGGCTGTGGACTTCTCCATCCTTGGAGGTTTTTAAGACCCATCTAGATAAAGCTTTAGCTGGGATGATCTAGTTGGGGATGGTCCTGCTCTGAGTAGAGGGTTGGACTAGATGACCTCCTGAGATCCCTTCCAACCCTAATTTTCTATTATTCTAATTACTGGGGGGGGTCATCTCATAATCCAGTTGTCTTCTATTTGAGTAAATACAGTAAGAGAGGATTGTAATCAAATGTCCTCCAGGTTCACGGGAGACTGGACAAAAGTAATGATTTTAATTTGTACCAAGGGAGGTTTACATTAGAAATGAAGATGAACTTTCCAAGTAGGTGCGATTAAGCACCAGAACAAGATTATCTAGAAAGACTGCGGAATCTCTATCATTGGAGACTGTTAAGTGCAGCTTCACGACCCCCTTGCCATAGGGATGGAGCCTGATGGCAAATTTTTAGGTGTGAAGCCCCCCCGTGAATATATGTGTCGACAATGGGAGGTGGGGTGGGGTAGGGGGAGCGATAGTTGTTCTAACACCTCCACTGCTATAGCTTGCCCTGCCAGGTCCATGAGGAGATTTGTGGTCCAGATCTGGCTCAGAGGGCTGGCTGAGTTTGACACTCCCAGACCAGAGGGAAGGTCCCTGAATTTCCTTCCAGACTAATATGATTCTGTACAGTAATTAATTGTGCTGGTCTAGGAAAGCCTTCTATGTGCCAAAGATGAGGGTTTTTTCAAAAGCTATTTAACCACTAAGTTGCAATACAGTAAGAACATAAGTAACCTAATAAGAACAGTGTCAAAACCCAAGTCTCTTTTTAAAACCCTATTCTTAAATATTATCACTGGTCTTCACTGTTATTCCTTGAATCAAATGAGAAACAGCAGCATAGCCCCAATCTCCCCGTTACAACTGGACTAATATTTTTATGGAATAAATCCAGACACTATTCATAAGAAACCTTTGTTTCAAAATTAAAAGAAAAAAGAAGTTTGAAGAACATTATTGGAATCTTACTGATTCTCCAAACTGAATTATAGCTGGCGATACAATTAGGACACGACAACTGCACGACAGTTATCTGCTAAAACACCACATTTTATAGCACACTCTCAGAGAAATGTTTCCTTCAGAGAAAAGTTCCGAGCTATCCACCATTAACAGCACACAAACTTAGGAGGAGACTACATCTATCTGAATAGGACAATGAACCTTAGAACAGTAATTCTACTTCCAGCCAGAAGAAATAAATATTTTCTTCTCTTGCCACTGAAACCAGCAACAAGATGCCACTAAACCAGTAACACCATCCCTTCTGGTAAGGCATAACTCTCAGAGGCCATCTCTCTGACTTTTTTTTCTTTCGTAAAATACAAGCAGCAGCACATTTCTTCTCTTTATTAGGACTCGAAGTGAGTGGATGGCCTCCTACATCTTTCTAATCTCAACTACAACTTCTAACTACAATTAACACTGCACAGGGAGTTACCACCACCAGAAAAAAATGGAAATTTTTGCATTCAACTGAAATGTCAGAACCATGGTTAGTGTGAATCTGCAAAAGCAGAACATAAGCAGAACAAAATCTTGAATACACTTTTTCACTAACCCATGGTACAATTTCTATAGTAAACCACTTCTTAACTTGCACAGAACCGGATAAAATTCCTTACTAAAAAAAACAACAACTTTACATTGGGAGGTCAGCACTCAAAACTCAGAAATCCCGAATCCTTGTTTCATTGAAAATTAAATAAGACTTCAACTCCCAGATTATTTGAGCCAAGGGTGGTCAACTTGCAGCAGAAGTGCCACAGGCAACTTCTGGTATGGAATGCAACAGATCAGGAAGGGGACAGACAGGCAGCAGAAGGCAGATGGCAAAGAAGGAGACCTGGCAAAGAACAGAGTATGGGGCAGAGAGCAGCACAGCAAACAGAAGAAAGTGACTGAAGTGGTATTTGGGGTGGGTGAAAAACTAATTTGTGGAACACCTGCCAAAAAGGTTGGCCTCCACCTACTTAAGCCATTTGGCACATTTTACCTGAAAGGGTAAAAAAACTGCAAAGCCTTATTGTATAATTATTGAAATATAGTGATCACATATTTTATTGCAATATTGTATCACACATCTCCCAAACCTCAATTAAATATGCAGTATTATGACAGACAGAATTTTCAAAACCTCGTAGTCCCAACAACCCTGATCCTAGTCAAGTTAATATAAAACTTGGACAGAGCTGAATGGTTCTGAAAATTCCCATCTTCTGCTACTCAAACACCTTATTTTTAAAAATATACAATAACCTAGAGCTATTTTAAACAAAGGGAAAAAAATCACTAAATACAGGTTTCCCTTGCCAATCACTAAATACAGGTTTCCCTTGCCAATCGCTGGTGTTAGGTTCCTGAAAGTTCCCATGGTGGCAAAACTGTGATTGGCCAGACAAAAGGCTTATGGGAAAAATGGCAGGTGGAAGGCTAATGTGCGGCCATGGAAAGCCATGGTTACTCAAAACTGTATACCATGGTAGCCAAACTGGTGTACAGACTATTAAGCGTGGATACTCAAAACTGTGGTTGGCAAGAGAAACCTGTATATATTTTCCAGTACTATATATTGTGTGCGCGCGCGCACACACACACACAACTTAGAAATATACTTCAATTAGATTTGCAGTTATACTTCAGCCCCTGAAGTGCATGTAAATAGGAACATGTAGCTCACTGCTTTAAACGAACAAACAAACAAACCAAAAACCACCCTATTATTAACATCTAGACCTTACTGAAAATTTATCTAGAAAAGCCAAGTAAAATCCCAAAGTCAGCATCAGAACTG